CTTCCCTCAGCCCCTGTGGGAAGATGAATCTTCGTGGGCACCTGGGCTTGAGGGTGCACTAGTCATGAGGATAGGCTCTTGTTTCTCATCCTCTCCATACATAACGATTCCTAAGTCCAGACAGACCTTCATGTGGACATCTCTTGGTGTCGCTCCCTTGTCTCCCATTTCTTTAAAGTGCTTCTGGCTTTTGATTACAGGCTAATGGAGTCTGGTTTCTCCCTGGTTGCAGTAACTGTGGAGGGCAGCATACCCTTACTAGTTGCAGTAACTGGAGGGCAGCATACCCTTACTAGTTGCAGTAACTGGAGGGCAGCATACCCTTACTAGCTGCACTAGTATCCGGGCTGCTTGATGTGCACCACTCATGTTTTCCAGGCTTAGTTGGGTCTTCTCGCCTTAAAGCTTTAAAATCCTTACTTCATCAGACCCCACTGCATCCCTGACTCATCCTCAAGCCAGTCACTGTGTCTGCCTGTACTAGTTCAGTTAGCCCCACCTCATGAAGCCACTGACAGCCCTCGCTGAAATGTCATGAGGAAGGCTGAAGAACGGTTACCAAGTGAGAGGAGATTGTTGCTTAAAAACCCAGCAAGTGTGGATAGAAGACATTGGAGATTTTGCTTGAAATTCCTGCTTCATTTAGAAAGTATCTGTGGGTTGCTGGTGAGGTAACTCAGCAGATAAATACACTCGCCACCAAGCCTGAGAACCTGAACTTGACCCCTGCACACATGGAGGCATTTCTGCACACTGCACACTGCACACTGCACACACAAAGTGAAAGACTGTAGCGTCCCTGTAGCAGTCCTCCCTTAGTGGAGGACGTGAGCCATCGCTGGTCTAGACGGTGGCCCTACAAGCCCTGCTGCAGGACCTGTAGCAACAACAGCAATTAGAAGGAATAGCCCCTTTTCCCCAGGCCAGCCGCTTGAGTGTCCGGCTCTACCCTCGATACTTGTACCATGTGACTTCACTTTCCGGTGGCGCCTACTGTGGGCATCATCTTTTGGGGACCTGTCAAGAGTAACTGGGCAATAGAAGGTAATAGACCAGCATTGACTCCACCAGGCTCTGCTGTTTGTGCCCCAGTTTGGAGCCAGCAGTGCGGGGCCTCACCATGTAGTTAGTAATCACCATGCCACCACCTCTCTGTGCCCCAACTTCTCCACCTACAGGATGGACTTGAATATACCTCTTGAGAGGAGAGGCTCGCTGGGGATTATGGGAGATACTGTGTGCTCAGCCCTGATGTAACACTGACAGCTTTTCCTAGTATCAAATGCTCCCATGGAACAATTGGTCTCTTCCCTTGATTGTAGATGGAGACTTGACAACCCTGAAAATGCCTTCAGTCCTGACAGTCCTTTGACTTTGCTCTGTTAATGGAAGCATATCTTTATTCTGGCTTTCAGCTTTCAGCTGACTTTTCCTAAACAGGGACACACAGTATGTTTGTATTCCAGTTTTGCAGGCCAGATGGTCTCTATTGTAACATCTCAGTTCTGAGCCTGTGTGTTGTAAAAGTGGCTGGTGGTCCATGAATGAAGGAATGTGGCCATCTGCCGGTAGAACATTACAAACAGCCTGAGGGGGACATTACCCTACTCACTCTGGTGAACTGTTTCTTAGGTCCTCCATTTAAATGTGTAGATTGTGTTTCTTAGGTCCTCCATTAAAATGTGTAGATTGGGATTGAACTGGCTTCGTAGGACCTCTGGAGGGCTTTGGAGCATCTTCTCTAGCTGCCCCTCCCGCTTTTCTTCCTTCAGCAGACACTTAGAAGGAGATGGTAGAGACTGCAGCAGCCTGCTGTGTGCTTTTCAGGACCAGCGGAGACTGGAAATTCAGATTATTGTGTTCAAAGCCGTGCTTTGCCCAACCTGCACATGATAGAAGTTAACAGAACTTTTCCGTGTTGCTAAACTCTGCTGCTAAGATGGCCAGAAGTCCCCCAAAAGGTGGATGAACATGTTCGTTAGAGAACTGTGGCTCCAGCTTGGAAGAGCAAGTCTGAGAGCAAGTGGATCTTTTGACTCTTATAGAACATGGGGGTGAGAATCATCGTACATTTTAGTTTCTTTTCTAAGCCTGTGGACTTAAGATTCATGAGGGGCGTCTGTTTTGTTCTGTTATTGTCCCTGAAATGACACTTTATGGTTCAGAATAACTGCACAGGCACCATGGCTGATACTCTGTGTGTTGAGTCAGATAGAATGTGACTTCATTCCAGACTAAAGCCGTTGACTTGGACCTTGACATTTACTTTCCTGGAGTTGTTTTTAGGCCTGTCTGTTCATTCTTGTTCATTCTTTAACGTTTGCCCATTTCGCTGACATCCCTCAACCAAGGAGCGATCTGTCCACCTGGTCCCTTTAGTAGAGAGTACCATTGTGTTAAGTGTGCTGTGTTCCTGGCCATGTTGCTGTTGTCACACATACACACAAAGCCTTTCATTTTTCTTCCAGATTAAATGAGACACTGTGGTTCTTTATTACCTCTTCTGTTTTCTTTCTGTGGCAGGTGACTTCTGTTTATGTTTGTGTGCCCATCACCATAGGCATACTTAAGTCACCACCACCTTTGTGCTGGGGTGACACTGCTCCCAACCCTCACCGCTTCGTTCATTCATCAAACACAGCAAGAACTGTAAAGGGTGTGGGGAAGCTAAGGCGTTAGAAGGAGCATGCTTGCTTAACTGGTTCTCATGTCTCTCCCTGACGGTTTAGAGGGAATTACAGCATTGTATGGGCCAGGAGTTCTGCATCAGCTGTCATACCCCAGGGTCCAGAATGCTGCCTGGGACAGAGTAGATCACAGTGAACATTTCAAGGATAAAAGGATGAGAGAAAGAAGGAAGGGAGACAAACTGACAGACTACGTCTTTTTTTCATTTATCTCACAAACATTTTAAAAGATCACTGAAACCTCCACAGTTGAATGAATCATCACTCAGCTGTTCTTCAGATGTAAGCTAAATGCCAGGAGATGTGTGCTCTCTCTCATTCGATTCATTTTTGCTATATTTTTACTATATTCCTCCCCTCCACCTGCATTTTCAAAATCCAGTGCTTCATTGGCATTTCACTTGGTTATATACTGTTGCCATCGAACTATTTGCAGTGCAAAAGAAATCATGAGCTCATTTGCTTTGCACCAAGTGACATGGTAGGTGCCAGAGACATGAGCACCACCCTATAGCCATCTTGTTTACCAGGCTTGTTTTGAGGGAAAAAAATTGAGGGCTTATTGACTATCTGTAACAAATCTTTCGCTGTCCTGCCAGCCAGCTCCCAAATAATGACATGGAGACTTCTTAAGCTCTGCCTTAGCTTTGGCTTGTTTCCAGCTAGCTCTTCTAACTTACATTACCCCATTTCTATTCATCTGTGTGCTGTCATGGGACTCTGACTTTACCGCTCCTTCTGCATGTCCTCTTCCTCTCCAGCAGGTGACTCCACGTTTCTTCTTCCCAGAGCTCTCTCTGTCTTGAAGTCCCACCTATACTTCCTGCCTACCTATTGGCTGTTTAGCTTTCTATTAAACCAATTACTGTGACATATCTTTACACAGTATAATCAGATATCTTGAAACATTTGTCCTTTTATTTAAATCCTCAATTGTGTGCCTTTGTGTGTTTATGGTGTGTGTATGTGTTGTGTGGGGAGGGGTGGGGGTTGCACAGAGGCCAGAGGAGGATGTCAGGTGTCCTCCAGTATCACTCCCCACCTTATTCTATGAGACAGGGTGTCTCACTGACAGTCACCAATTGCCGCCATCCTCCTCTTTGTTCCTTCACAATTCTGGGTTACAGGTGCATCTTGAAGCCATGCCCAGCTTTTTTTTTCTTTAACATGGAGGCTAGTGATTTGAACTCAGGTCCTTATGTTTGTATAGCAAGCATCCTCACCCACAGAACTATCTTTCCATCCCTTAAATCCTGTTTCTACAAATGCTGAAGGGGATGTATGAACTTATAAATGAAATCAGAGGTTGGAAATGTTTCCTTACTTTCTTAAGTGATATTGGATATATGGCACACATATATCTTTTTCTCTTGGTAAATGCCAGATGAACGGGACAGTAGGCAAAGAGTGTACGTGTATGGCAGACTACAAATCTTGAAAGTATCTACATACTGTCATTATTAAAGCATTGCGGTTCAAGTAATATTTACATCTTCTGTTTATAGAAATGGGAGTTTATGGAGTTTCAGAAAACAGGGCTTCAGTAAGAGACAAGTTTGTCCCTACAGGGAAGCATTTTGCTCTCTGTCTTGGCCTTACAGAATCAAACAGGCGGCTGTGTGCCATGGTGATTACAGGTAGACATTCCCAGCCAGAGCAGTCATGGTCCATAGCATCTGTGTTGTTGCTCAGGAATCCACTGCTCAATGTTTTAGACATAAAGGTAGGTTTTCTGATCACTGTGAACTCAGATCTAGATATTTACTCTCTTCTGAGCTTGAAACGATGTCAGTTAAGCCAAGTCCAGTTTATTTTTACACACGTATTAGTCTGGTGTATCATATTTGGGGTTTAAATTGGCAATACAAAGCAGAATCACCTTCAACTCACCTTAGATTTGACCTCTAGTGCTATCTTGCTTAGTCTGTGTCCATCTTAAAAATACTGAGTTCATGGTTTTCCTAGTTTATAGAAATAGAATCTAGAGCTACCTAACTAATGGTTTGTAGTGTGGCTTTCGTTTTTGCATTGTTTTGCATCTTTATGTTTTTGTTTATTTCGTTGGTGGGTTTTTGAAACAGGATCTTCTTATGCAGCATTGACTGGCCTGGAACTCAGGAACATCCCAACCCCCACCCCAACTTTGAGCCTTGAGGATCCAGGCATACACACAACACCTAGATTAAAAATGCTCTGATTGTACAATAGCTTTCTCAACATCAAGTTGTGTACATTGGTGCAGAGCTCTGTCTTACTGTTGGCAGTCTCTTCTGGTGACTTTGGTATTTAACTGTCTTCTTACTGTCCAAACAGTGTGTGGGTTTCAACAGACCACGATGAAATTGAGAATGTGGCCAAACAGTTCGGTGCACAGGTTCATCGAAGAAGTTCTGAAACGTCCAAAGACAGCTCTACCTCACTAGACGCCATCGTAGAATTCCTTAATTATCACAATGGTATGAGTTTGACTACATTTAAATTATATGTGATCTGTAGCCATGTTTACCATTACCCAACACTTGGGTTAACATCTCATTTCAGATCTCAGTATCATATGCTCATCAGGACTGTGCATGTTTGACGTCTTTTCTTTGTTTTGTCTTCAGAGGTTGACATTGTGGGGAATATCCAAGCCACATCTCCATGTTTACATCCCACTGACCTCCAGAAAGTTGCAGAAATGATTCGAGAAGAAGGATATGACTCTGTCTTCTCTGTTGTGAGGCGCCATCAGTTTCGATGGAGTGAAATTCAGAAAGGAGGTAACCCAGCTCAACGTACGGAAAGTCAGGCTTTGTTTTGCTTTGTGGATGAACACCATTAGCAGTAAGGAGAGCTAAGGAGCAGTAAGTGTTTGGTGCACAGCTGCAGTGACAAATTAATCCAGTCTAGACCTCCTTACGAAGCAAAATGGTAAACACCAAATTAACTCAGCCTCCCACTCTTTAGACATCCCAGCCTCTGTCTGTGAGTTGGCGAAGCAGACTTGTCAGTTTTTAGATCACCTCCTTTTGTGTTGCTTGTTGGCCTGCCAGGTGAGCATCAAACCACACCAACCCTCCATATTGAATTAGTGTATCACCTCCACGGGAGATCCTGAGGTAGAGTGAGTGTTGAGGGTGACGTGCTGTGACAGGTCCTCAGGTGATTGCCGTACATCTTAGAGAAGTTGGCCATGCTTGAGTGATTGAGCGCCAGGGACTGCTGTTCTATCTCCTCACGGTCCTGACCCTTTGGAGCTCCTGGGAAGCAGTGCTGCTGGTGGATGGGGTCTAAACCAGGCTGGCAATTGTTGGGCTCCATTACATTTCTTGTTTATAAACCCATAGCTGCTCACTGAGTCAGTTGTGTGGTTGTCTGTGTCGTTTTCCATCCTTGTTAGAGTAGATGGGCATGTGCAACATGGTGGCTCTAGCACCACTCAGCTGTGGTAACCATGCCAACGCAGAGGCCTTGAAAGTAGAAACACATACTGCAGGGTAATGGGGAGATGGCTTGGTGAGTAAAGCATTTACCACACCTTGTGAGGCCCAATGTTCTGATCCTCAAAACCTGTGTAAAAGATGAGTGGGCATGGCAGCCTCCTAGTGACACAGACGGGATTCCTGAGAAAGTTGGCTGGCTAGCCTCATCAGTCTCCAAGCTCTGGGTTTGACTGACAGACCCAGCTGCACAAAGGGAAGTGCAGAGAGCTGTGGGAAAATGCCTGAGGCAAATGTTGGGCCTGCACACCTATGCACCACCTCCACATGCACACACGTGTGCTCATACATGTGTGACCGTCATAGCCCTGTGTGCACAGTTTAGTGTGAATTCAGGGTCACGGTGTCTTGTTAACAATCTTAAACTTACTGCACGTTGAGATGAGATGATGATTGTTTCCTTCTGGCATTTGAAGACTGCTTTCTGAAGTGCTGTCATGAAAATGCCTTCTGTTTTCCACATTTTATCAGCAGTACAGCTGGGGCTCTTGCCAGCAGTGACCTGTCTAAGACACTGGCCTTGGGATGTTTCTCTACAGTGTTTTCTTTGTCCTCTTTCTGGAATCCATTCTTAGATTTGAGTGGTTTCTGGTTTGGGTTTCTCAGTCTGCTCTGTTCTCATATCTCTGTTTACTTTTGAGCAATTCCAGCTGGCTGGAGCCTGATAACTATCTCTTCAGCCAGTTTTAGCCGTTGAATTACCTCAGGGTTTTTGTTGTTGTTGTTGTTTTCTAGTCTGGATATTTGAGCTCATTTTTTAGGAATTCCATTCCCTATTGAAATTTCCATGTTTATCTATTTTCAGTATCTTTTTTTAATATCTTGAGCATATTTATGGCAGACATTGGAAAGTTCTTGATGCAAATTTCAGCATTTTTGTTCTTTTAACTGAGTCATTTCTCCTACTGTTGGTCCTCTTGAATGTGACCTCCCTGTTTCTGCTTCTCTGTGTGTCTCATGGTGTGGCATATACCTGCCGCAGACAGTGGAACCCACATTTTCCTTCAGAGGAGACTTGCCTCCATTTCTGAGAGACACAGGGATAAGCAGCTGATGACAGTGGTCCAGTGAGAAGTTGTACTAGACTCACCCTGCAAATCCAGGCCACTGCTCAGTGTGGCTGCCAATTACGGGAAGATTGTGTAGGTACAACTGGCTCCCAGTCAACCACTGCACGTAGGGTGGGAGACACCATCATACAGTGTTGTAAGGAGACGTCAGCTTTCTAGTGCTGTGAGCCTCTTGCCCCATCTCCAGCCTCCCCCCACCCCTCCCCCCCC